TTTGACCAATTCTGGAAATTCTTAGTCATCAAGTAGAGAACTTATAAATGTAGGTCAGTTTTGAGTCCCGTGTATGTAAAAGTCCCAATAAAGAATTTTAAGGTGCTCTTCCAAGCCTTATTTACTCTTTATTTCTGGGTTATTTTCAGATTATTTCTGTGTTATTTTCAATAATCCCGAAATAACCCAGAAATAAGGGATTATTGAAAATAACCGAGAAATAACCTGAAAATAACTCAGGAATAACATAGAGCTACGTCAGGAGTCCGAACAGAAAATGCGCTCTCATTTGAGTGCATATTCCTCTCATTCTGCACCAAAAATACAAAAATTTTAAAAAAAAATCATATGTTTTTACATGTATATGTAATCTAAAGCTTAAGTTTTACATGACATGAAGAAAATATAATTTATGGTTTTGAGTGATATGAATATAAAAATTAAAATTTTGGTTTTAGATATGTAAATATATGTGAATTAGTGGTCGGTAAATGAAAAAATTATTTCATACAGTGATACTGTATGTAGAAATGCATATGATATCTGATCTTCACCGTCCATCAAAATTAAAAAAAAATTAATAAAACTTATTATAATTTTCAAATAAATATTTACTTATTTTTTGCAATTGTACCTGCTCGTTGAAAAGTCAGCTAATAGATTCTAAGGTACCGTACTATGGGGGTCACCACCAGCTCTGTGTTATGTCTGCACGATCTATAGACATTATTGTACCCGATTGGAATAAAACAAACTAATATTACTCACCACCACTCAAATTTCATCTTATTATTCGATATAAAAACTTAGTGAAAAGCAGGAAAAATATAGAAATATCTCTCTGTGGCCAATAAAATAAGCTTTTTGGCGAGAATGATCTACTTAGAATTTACCCAAGGCCAATAATTTTTACTATTTTACATAAATTAATATAAGTAGCATAAATTAATATAAGCGCCATATACATGCATACCGTCATATTCCTACGTATTTGCATATCGGGTAAAGTGTCAAAATAGTTTCTGATTATTAATATGGGATTGTTGTAGTCCCAAAGGTTAAAGAAGTGTAAAATTAGTCCATAGACTCTTTAAATTAGTACTAAAATAGTCACCCTGAAGAACTATTAGTGCTTAATTTTAAATAGTTGGGGGCTAATTTGACGACACTTCTATAAATAATCGAGGACTATTTTAACACTTAACACTTCACTTATCTATCATCTAAACTTTATATATTTCTGCCACTCAAATATCTTATATCACATAAAAAATATTACTAATTTAAGTTAAGAAAAACAAAAGTGAAATACAAATTTGCCATGCCCAAGTAGAGATGCATTTATATATACAAAGCGAAATAGTAGTTAGATTTATAAATACAAAAGAATTAAGTGTTATGTAAGTAAGTCTTCTAATACAGGGCTCACCCCTAGCTGAAATGGCAAAGGAGGCTAAACCAGCTTAACAAAAGGAGATCAAGGGGTCGGTCGGCCCTTTCCTCTCGATTAAAGTTGCCACCCCATGGGAGGAACACCCTCTAGTTATCTACTTTTAAATATATGTTGCTTTCTTTGATCAAGGTCAATTTTTTGCTTCTGTTTTTTTGTCATCGACATCTTTATTTTGCTAGGTTGTATCTGAGGATAAGTGGTGCTCCGATTATATCCTGCTCTAAGATGATGGTTATCTCCGCATATTTCTTTCCCCATTCCTCTTGCATGCTTGTTCCTGACCACCCTGTGCCTCTCCTACTTGTTGTTGCACCCTCCCTGCACTTTAATTGTTGTTCTTGCCCCTTCCAACACCCTCGCCTGCTTTTTGTCGCCCTTCCAACGCTTCTCCCACTCGCTGTTGCACTCTCCCCGCACCGTGTGGCTGCTGCCCATTCCTACATCTTCGCTTGTTGTTGCCACTTATTGCACCACCCCTAGCTTGTTATCGACCTTCTAAGGTGCCCTTGTCGCTGCTGGTTGTCCCGTCGCCCGATAGCCCTACACCAGATAGCCCTACAATCACTACTTCCCTAGCCACAACCACTGGCACACCTCACCTTAGCATGGTTTTGTGTTTATTTCATGTTTTTCCTATTTTAAGAGTCATTTGTAATAATCCTATTTACTTTTGCAAAATAATATTAGCAATCGCATTGGGTCATTTTGGCTATATCTACAGGATATTCACCGTAATTTTTCAACATTGCATAAGCTGAGATCTTGTAGTAATCAAAACCTATGTTAGCTGACTTCATCCTTTATTTAGCCGAGTTATATTTCGAAAAGAGTTTTTTCAAAGTTGACCCTATCATTTGACTATCAGTATGATTTAAGAGTTAAAATAATTTTTCATTTACTCTTTAAGAACTTCCTTATTAGAGACAAACTCCTCGATTTGCCAAACAAATATTTTAAAAATGAAAACACTAATGAAAAATTATATAGAACAAATTTGAGGTAGAAAAGTTTAAATGACGTAAAAATGAAAGATTTAATGCTAATATATCTTATCTCATCTAGTAAAAATTTCATTGGCATGATTTTCGTTGTCCCTCCGAAATTGTCTGCGTGTAATTTCATATTTAAGACATACGTCCACATTCACCTCACTTTTTTAAATGTTAAATAATTTTAGTACGTCGGATCTCATGTTGTTTGTGTGTTCACACAACCAAAGAGAAACTTATGTGAGGAAGATAAATAAAAAGGATGAATGTGTTCCCTAGGCCTGAATTATTGTTTTGTTTTTCGATTCTCCATCGGTCGAGCGTTGAAGATGATCTAATGAGAGGAGGGAGACAATAAAGCTTTTCTGAGAGTCATGACATAGGATTCCTCAGAAAAGGTAGAGATAGTTGATCCCCTCTTCAATCTCCTTTCTCCCCGTTTACACATGTTCAAAAAGTATTATAATACAAATCGAGTAATACAAAAACTATCCATAATGCCTTGATGAAAAACTTGCAACGTGCATATCTTGTTGCTCATAAAAGTATGCAGCATATTTCTACTTGATGTCAATCTTGACTATTGTGTTCTGATAGTTCCAAAAATTGCCAAGAAGGCAATTGAGCTATTAAGCTTGGTTAGTCAAAATGTGAGATGGAACATCCAAACCAAATCCACTAGCTAATTCGTCGAGTTAGTCTACCAGGTCAATTTAGCAAGTGAACTTGATCACTCGGCAGCTGCCAGCTCGACAACTTGGCAGACTTTTTTAAGTGTATACAACCACATTGATTGAAAACAAGATCTTATTTTTGTGGATACTAGAAAGAATTTAATCATAAACACACTCAAATATACAAAATCTTGGACTAAGATATATATATATATATATATCTGTATTTTTATGTACAGACATACATACATACATAAAGGGTGAGAGAGAGATTTGAAACGAATATTATATATAAATTATAAAATAAACTGCTAAACTCAAATGCACAGTTAAAATCCTAGTTACAAATTTAACTTTCCTATAAATCATATGAAAAATTGGTTAAAAATTATTAACCAGTTAGATCTGGCTTTAACTTGACAAAAAAATATAATTAGATCAGGGCCTCTGTAAATTAAATTTATCATGGCATCCCATTAATTGTTAAAAAGTCCATACATAGAAGGAAAATTGATTTCAAGATTCTATGATCGAGCATCAATCATATCTGATTGTTAAAAATTAGTTTTTTAAACTGTCTGCTCAATTATATGACTGCCGAATTAGATCAAGATTATAACTTTTTAATTCCCAACCAGATTAATCCAAAGTGTGTAGTAGCCGGAGTAATAATCAGTTGATTTCTGTACAACTTTTTTTTTTTTTTTTTTTAAGGTGAAGTCGATATTTGGTCTAGTGGGCACCAAATATTGATTCTCTCATATGGGTTGAAAACCCGATGTGCTTGATTCTTATTCTAATAACTCGCACCACATGATTCGAACATCCGACCCGAGTGACTTATGCCAGAAACCACACTAATGAGTCAGGTCTTTTGCACCAGTTGATTTATGTACTATCATCTAAAATTTCATATTTACATATATAACACTTATCTTTAATATCACATCAAAAAATCACAATTGCGTGTATTTTAAAAATGAACACGCTGCTTCATATATAGGTTTATAACACTGAAATATTATTTATATAAATATAATTTTAAACGTTAAATATGTAAATACATAAAATACGCGTGTATGTAAATTAAGAAGACAAGGCATTTCCATACATAGCACACAATTCTTATATATAAATGCATAATAATTGTGTGGTATTTTATTTATATGATTATCTTCATATACCTCAGTCTGTTGATTGGCATCCAAAGTATAAGGCCCCTCTTGGGGGTTTAAATCTCCTCTGACACAGTTAGCCTCAAAGAGATTTTACTCGATGTGTTATGCAAATTAGGGATGGTTGAAGACTAGTATAATGGCCTCTGGCCCTCTAGCAATTCCTTTTAAAATATATATATAATTATTGTTAAGCGAAAATTAGCCGGACACAAATGAACAAAATTTTATTCATGTTTGACTCGTTTATAAATCGAGCACTCTCTATGGAAGGAAGTGATTATGAATTTTAAAATGATTTCTGCATCTTTTAATATTTTAATAACATTTTAAAATAAAAAAAAATAAATAAACATACACTCAACATACAAACACAATTCTAGGCAATATACTTAAACTGAAAATAAATAATAATCATTTATTATTTCTAATAGTAAAAAATTCAAATTTTACCCTCTTTAAATAATAAAATTATATTGAATGATTTACATACATACCACCCAATCCTCATATATTTCCGTCTAATATCAAACTTTACTTTTTACATTTATAGCACTTATGCTAGAGAAGAAGCCTCACTTTCTAAAGATTCGCAATAGTGATATTTTTTATATGGTTTGAAAGATTTGAGGGGTATAAATATAAATATTAAAATTTAGATATTAAATGTGTAAATACGTGGGCTTGTTTTATGCACCCGTCAAGAAAAAATTTTGACCATATCACACATTGAAATACTGATAAAAAAGGATGGCAAAAGTATAAAAACTTACAGATTCTAGGTTATGACTACATAATCAGATTTACAGAAGGAACTTCAGAATCAAACCTGCACAAGGCTTCACCATGCATAATTTGCACCTTTTAACGAGCACAAAAAGACTAATAGAGGCACTAAACAGACGAAAAAAAACCACTAAAAATGCATAATTCACAAAATAATACTTACAGGGATCCAATCCATTCTTCATCCTTCTTTCCATTTGAGGAATGTGATCCGCAGCAGAACGAAGATGCACACAAAGCAGGAGATTGTTAATATTAGCAGTTCAAACAGATCCTGGGCATGCATAATGTTCCAAATATTCTTCAGAGTCTCCTGTGCCTATCAGCAATTATTAGTTAGCATCATGAATCTAATATCTTAGTCTTATGAGAACCTGCAATGTAAGAATATTATTGAAGAAATGGCAATTAGGCACCAGTATTGACAATTAGAATGCAAAGGAACAACCAGAGTAAGAAAACAATCAAGCCTGGTATTATATTTTGAGCCAAGTTTGAGTTCAAGTTGTGATTTGCATCAAACTAATTTCGAGAGAGCCATCTTTTGAGTTTTCAAAAATGGTTATGATTTTGAGAACTAGCAATCACATAACCATACAAAGCAATCCCGAGGGATCACCACGTTAAGAAGCTATCTATCGGATTACAGTAACTCACCCTCTAACCGATAACCTAGCCTTGCGCTGCCAACAGAAGTTCCTTATCTAGGGATTAATAGTCGACAACCAGAGTAGTGTAGCCGACCAACAGAGCTAAGTCTCGCTGGCCTGAAGACAAGCAAAGACCGACCGACAAACCTGATTCAGCACAGTCGAACGAACAAACCAAGACCGATTGATTTAAGCCGACTGAGTCGTAGGGTAGTCAAACCGAAGACATATACATGTAAAATACCTAAAATAACCTGTAACTCCCCCTTTAAAGTAGGCGTAGACATATAATTTCAAATATAGTATTGTACCCCCTCTATAAATAGAGGAATCATTTCATGTGAAAGGGCTAATCAAAAATTCAGATTACTCTTCATTATTGTGCACTTCCCTCTCTATCACTCTCTCCTATCTTACACTCTATTACTTGTGTGTGATTCACGGACAGATCAGTATTCAACATGAACAAAAATAAAAAAGATTATTTCATGTGTGTTAAAGAATTAGACTTTGGATGAAGCACAACTACCCATTGTTAATATGAGGGCCAGACGTAAAGCCTTAGCTGTTCATATTATTGCTCTGACTTAACATTTTTGCTGCAAGAGTTTCTTCTTCTCGCCCCTTCTCAGATACAAAAAACATATCCCTATTTTGGTCAAAAGTTTCACCCATTCCCATCCCTCTTCCTCTTCTCAACTTCCTTTTATTTGCATATGATTATGTGATAAATGAAACCAATGATTTCTTCGTTTTTTATAGTTGCAACATGAGATGGTAGCGGTGAGAGTACTTAGTGGCGCTTAAGTCAGATAACCACCAATTCAAAAAATCAAGTAACCAAATCCTAGAATAGTAGTCATTAATCCTAGAGAATTAAGCATGAACGAATCTTGAATTTAAAAATTATCAATGTTGAAAATCAAAATCAAATATTGTCTAAGATGATTAGGAAATTTAGTCCACACTCAATAAACTCTCACCAGGAGTATGATTTTTGATGTACTAGCTTAGTAGTCGTGTTTAAACAATTATCTAGGTTTCCTCCAAGATCAAAATCAACATAAAGTTATAGTTTTAAGTTCTTCCAAAATTTGCAAAAAAGATGCATAATATTTTTTAGATGGCACAATATCCACTATACAGCTTTCCAATGTTATTTTCTTAGATTGGACGTGCACTTGTTGCTTTCAGTGTTTGTACAATATTTGTTCTTGTGTAAACTATCAGACAAGATCCAACGAAACGACTAAGGAATATGAAATTTTGGCTGGATGCTCATTTTTCCTTCTTTGTCTGTAACATTTAATTTTGGATAATCTCAAGGAACCAAATAGCGATATATCGATTAGTCTTTGTCTTTGTATTTGTTATGTTAAATTAGTCCAACACCTTTCCAATATATTGTGACTTGATGTACCTATGGCCTTAGTTACAATCTATTCTCATCTTAAGAATCTCTTAGCATCTCTGCAGTCCTTCCTTTCAAACTCGTGTGATAAATATTGCTTTACATTTTTGAACATTTATGTATTAACTTCCATAATAAAATAAGTCATCCAAATATAATAATAAAATAATATACATTTTTTCATATTCCCTTAACATGCCAACAGTAGTTGACATTAAATATGAGGAACTCCATCCCCTATATGAACCTCTGTAATTTATGAACTATTAATGAAGCATTAATTTCAAACAATAAATGCTTTTATTTAACTTGCGCATGAAGCTTCCCTTCAATGGATTAACAAATCATTTTCGTTGCAACATTCAAATGTCTTCCTACAAGACGCAATAGGAGAAAGTTTTCTTGGCATTTATTTTCTATATTATTTTCTCAAATATAGATTACTGTTGCTACACTGCTTAACACTAGATGAATAGTTGTTAGTTTAATTACAAAAGAGAATTTTTAAGTATAATTTGTAATTTTCTTATAGTTGGAATCCCATAATAAAAAGTCTTGATGAACGTTTTAGGAGAAGGAAAAATGAATTATTCATCTTCAATTCCATATTAAATAATAACAAGTTAAATAGAGGGGATGGCTCTCATATAAGAAAAGTCATAAAATCAGTCATAACTCCCGATAATAAAATATGAAAATAGAAATTATAACATACCAATAATACTAAACTCTAAAAATATAAAATATTAAAATAGAAGATACTAAAAATAAAATCTTCCTAAAATTCCAACAAACAACCCCCTCCTCAAGTTGGAGCCACAGATATCCATCATGTCCAATTAGCTTACAAGAAGCTCAAAACTATGCCTAAACAACCCTTCGATGAAGATATTTTGTAATTTGTTGAGCAATAGAGATAAATGACGTGCAAATAGCTTCATTATCAATTTTTACTTTTATGAAGGATTTGCCAATCTTCACCTGCTTTGTGTGATCATGTTGCATTGGATTTTTTGTAATTGTCATAGTATAACTTCAATGGCATGTTTATCGGGATCTGCAACTCTTCAAGAGTCATTTTCAACTATAAAATATCACATACTCCACTAGTCATAGCCCAATATTCTGTCTCGGCACTACTCGCAACCACATTCTGTTTTTTACTCCGCCATGTAACCAAATTTCCCCAAACATACATACAACATACAAGCATCGATTTCTTGTCAATAATTGAGCTCACCCAATCTGCATCAGTGCATGCCTCTACTTTTGATTATGTGGTCTTCTAAAAGAGTAAGCCCATGCCTAGTATACTTTTTGGGTATCCGAGAATCCTATTAACTACTTCAAGGGGTTTTTCAAGACTTATCAAGCTCACAACAAAGGCAATATCAGACTGTGTATGCGATAAGTAAATCAACTACCCCACAAATTTTTCATACCTCATTATTCACCAGATCACATTCCTTTACGACCTCAATTTTTTATTGGCATTAATTGAAGTATATGTAGGTCTACACCCACTTATCCCAGTTTCCTTGAGAAGATTAAAAACATATTTTTGTTGGGAGTTATCTCGTCAACATACACAATCAGTATGACTATATTGTCATGCTTTGAATGTCTGAAAAACATTCTATGATCTTCTTGCCCTTGAGTATAACTTTGACATTTAACCAACAAAGTAAAATTATCAAACCATGCCCTTGATGACTGCTTCGACTCGTATAAGAATTTTTTTTAGTTCACACACATTTGTGTCAAAATTCTCACAAAATTTTGGAGGGGTATCCATATATACTTCTTCCTACAAGTCCCGATTAAAGAGAACATTATTTATATCAAACTGTTATAAAGGTCAGACAAGGTTAGCAATAAATGATAGAAGAAATCTAATAGTTTGATTTTGCAACTAAGGTCCGAGTGAATCTCTTGACAACCAATTGAGCCTTATACCATTCTAGAGAGCCATCAGGATTATAATTGATTGTGAACACCCATTTGCACCCAACAGTTATCTTTCCTCTAGATAGATCAACTAATTCTTACGTGTCATTCTTTTCAAGAGCTTTCATCTTCTCGAAAAGAGCCTCCTTTCACTTAGGGACTTTCAGAGCATCATGCAAAAAACTAGAAATCTCCATATAAAATAATTGTGAGATAAGCACACAGAATGCGGGTGAAATATTTTCATATGACACATAATGGGACAATGGATGTTGGGTGCAAGACATTTCCCCTTTACAAAAAATACTGAGAAGGCTAGACTCATTAAACGCAGGATTGGAACTAAGCTCAAGCTCAGGACTAGAAGACGTAGAACTTGCAGATGAAGTGGACTGAACATGAGGTAAATGATCAGTGAGGCTATTACATGAAGGGTCCGTGGATTATGTGCATCGCAAAGAATTTCTAGACCCTTTATTTTGAGTTGTTCTTTGTGGCAAGTAGACACTATAAATGGTATTAATGTCGTAGTTTTTTTTTTCTTGTTTCTTCTTTGTTATGAACATCAACATATGTCATTTTAGGAATACCAGAATCACTTCCAATACCTAAAAAACGCGACACACTTTCTCTTGATATAAATATTGCATTAATTTTCAAGTTGAACAATCACAGTTGTGGATATACTATTTTGTGAGTATTCGGTTGAAGATCTTGAAACTCAATCTAAATCTTTTTTTGGTTCCCTCCCTTGAAAATGCGGCAAAAAAAAGAATGTAATTAAAAAAAACGACATCCATGGTAAAAACAATTTTTTTTGGAATTAGGATTAAAACATTTATACCCCTTTTGATTAAGAGTATAATTAACAAACATATTTATTTGTTCAAGGCTTAAATTTTCATTGATTATGATTATGAACGTGAACAAAAACAGTACATCTAAATAAATTTAAAAGGAAAGAAAAAAGTTGATTCTTTGGAAATAATTTTTGAAAAATTTTTGAAAGTGTTTCAGAGTTTAAAATATTATTAGGTGTCTTATTTATGAAAAATATCATAGTAAAAACAGCTTCACTCCAAATACATGTTGGCATATGATTGATAAACAAAAATATCAAAGCTACTTTCAATAAATATTTCTTTTTCTTTCAATCATAACATTTTATTGTAGAGTGTCGATACAAGAGTATTGATGAACTATTTCAATTTTGAAAAAAAAAAATTAAACAATTGTATTTTTGAAATATTTTCGACTATTATCACACTTAATATTTAATTTTTTTTGAAATCGTGTATGTACTATAATGTA